TTCGCTGCGACAATTCATTCGCAACGTATAGGTGGAGTCAGATTTTTACATCACTTGTCCTTTATCCGCGGTGATCTAGCATCTCTCTGATTCCCTTCCGCTTACACCTATCCCTACCTGATACTTATTATCAGCGCGCCTCACTTCTCCCCCTCCAAAGTTTCTACGGCAGGCGAGCTCATACCGTCGCTCCAACCTTCCAGGCTGCTCCACGCATACCGTAGTTTCGTCTCCTCGTTCGTACCAGTTCATCGATTCGCTAGAATGAACTCACCGTCTATCTTTCTGCGAGCAATGGTGTACACAAGCCTTCGGCGACCGATGACGTTATACGGTCGCTTCAACTTCGGCAGGAATTTCCTCTCCCCCTGGCCATTTGCGGTCGCACGTTGGTGATCTTTGTACTTACCCGTCGAAGCAACTGAAAAGTCTCCGGAGGGTTACCTTATGTTCACTGAGGGTTTTTCATCATCCGGTCCTGAGGTGCCTTCAAATTATGGTTCCCCATCTTTCTGTTGGTCCGTGCCTCCTTTGGCGGCAACTAGCAGGTTCTGCAAACACCCACTTCTAGGTCTACAGGAAATCAAGTTCTACGGCTTTACACTAACTGGAATCGCGATCTCTTGACGCGGTGACGCCCGGTGACCTAGCAAGGTTTGTAGTAAAGCCTCTTCCAGATCTCCGCCCATCGCCACCAGCCACTCTGTACTGGTCTTATTATCCCTCTCCGTCAACCCGTTCGTCTGGAAATAGTATGGAGTGGTCACCTTCTTGATACCTAGTTTCTCCAAACATCTTCGGAGTTCGTCGCTTGTAAACATGGACTGATCTGTCGGAATCTCGTGGCTCGTTATCATGTGCTTATCATGGCATGTGTTACCGTACCGTCTCGTTGATCCGGAATAGCCGCCTCTTCATTCCACCGAGCAAGGTGCTCGATCATCACGACTAGATGTTAACTGCGGGTCTTGTTAACGGGAAGCGACCCATCCCGTCGATTGACAACGACTCACTAATCTTGGCCAATGGAATTAAAAGCGCAGGTTGTGGTGTTTATTGATTGTCTCCCTACAGTAGCTGACAGTGCAGACACAAGATCACATAGGTATCGGCGTTTTTTTTATGCCAGGCCAGTAAACTCACTGTCTAGGCAAATCGTATGTCCTCCTGCACTCGCTGTGAACTATCTCACGACAAGAGAACACCAAATGTTTCCACACTTTCGGAGGATCATTAGCACCGGGGTAGAGTCTCGTCCTTGTGTCCGCACCAGCAATACAACTTCGTTTATGTGCAACTTATCCAGAATCCGCACGAATGGCCCGAACTGCTGGGCTTGACTTTTGGTTGCCGCAGCTTGGTTCATTATTTGTACTGTTGTCACCCCGTTCAGGAGCATGTCCTTTCGTTGTTTTACCGCCAAATTTCCCGGATCCTGTTCCAACACTATACCACTGACACCGAAGACGACGCCCGGCAAATCATCCACTTTCGCCGTCCGCTATAAAAAACCGCCGTTGCGTTTATTTTCCCTGATATGTTGTTTAGCTTAAAGTCACATTATCTCAGGCGCTGCGCCCACCTCACCAACTTGCTACTGAGGTCTCTGTAGGACTTAATCCACTCCAACGGATTATGATCCGATTCGACGTCCAACTGTTTACCCAACAAGTACAGCCGTCACTTGTCTGGAGCCCAAAGAATTACCAGACACTCATCCTCCATTGTCGAATACTTGCATTCCGATAGTGTTGAAATTCTGCTAGCATATTCGATCGTTCCCTGTTTTCACTACATCACAGCACCGATTCCGAAGTCGCTTGCGTCTGTGGCCACGGTGAACGTTTCTCCAGAGATCGGTAATTTTAACCTAATTTCTTGTCTCCCTATCTCCTGCTGAATGTCATCAAACACTCGCTGAGCTTCTGCCGATAAGATGAATTTCTTTCCTTCTCTTAACAGCTCTTACGAAGCCAACGCCAAGCTGTTGAAATGCTTAACAAATTTACTGCAATATCCGGCGCGACCCAAAATGCCAGAAAACTGGGTGCCTCTGATGGCCCATACTTCCCCGGCATCGGTTTGATCTCATCCAGATGCACCTTGTGACAAATCAGTGCCACGGACGTTATCCTGATTTGAGATTTAGGCCCATTTATCCGTGATTCCGACTACTTAATTTGTTGAAACGTTGCTTTGTGTTGACCATGCTGCTCAGTCTGCGATTCTTTGTATACCACGATTTAGTCTGTATCCACGTCCACGTTCTCTAATCCGGCCAGAATGCGCAGCAGTAAACACGGAAAGATAAAATGGGTCATCAGATAATCAAAACGGCATCCTTTTAAATTCGTACTACTTATCTTCGACTATAAATGCTGTCGTTGCCTGGTTCTCTTTTTTGATCGCCCAGTTACCAGTAAGCAGATCTCTGGTCCGGTTCGGTGAATATCCTTGACTTATGCAGTCTATCAAAAAGGTCTGCGACTAATGACACCGGGACGAAACGACTCAGGGAGATTTCGTTCAGCCTACTGAATTCCACGCAAAGACGGTAGTTCCCGTTAGCCTTCTACACTAAACAACTGGGGAGTTCTAGGGGCTGTGAGCCTCTTTGAGTACGCATACATTTAACATTTTTACACCTACTTTCTGACCACATTCACTAGGTGTGTTGACATTCTTCTGGGCCCCTACGGCCGGTACGGCTGATACGATGGCGGAATTGTGTGTTTGATTCACTCACAAAACAAGTAAGGGCTACATCATCGTACTTGCCTACAAACGATTGCAGGACCAGACTTGCATGTAAAACAGCCACGACCGAACATACCCATGTGAATACGATATTTTACCACAATTAGTATCTCGTCATCTGCTTTCCTCGTTTTATGCCAGCGGTGGCCTTGCTGAGCTGGAGAAAGCATGCACCTAGGATGGTCTGTTTTGCATCCGGTGACACGACGAAGAGATGGTTGAAACTCCGACCACTGCTACCTACCACGGGTTCCGCCATACCGTCTATGCGGATATCGTAAGCACAGACGGCCTTCATCACCATGGAACACGACTGTTTTCACCTAATCTCTGTACTTGATTCGGGAAAGCGCGACACCTGTAGCAGTCGAACGCCTCAAGGTTTTTCCGTTCCCTTCTATCATCGCTTAAATCACCATTTGGTTTAGCGTCCGAAGTATGCCCTCCCCAACACGAGAACCGTACGGTTTATAGCTCTCATGTGCTACACTGGGGATATTACTTCTTGATAGGTATTGCTGCTTCCAGTGTCCCAGTTTCCTACAAATGAAGCATAATTTCTTCTGCTCTGCCTCCTAACAGGAAATACGAAGTTTTCCGATGTCTTGCGTCATCTAACCTAGCCTCTGCTTTAGCCTGTCCAGTTGCTTCTTCTGTTTTTTGGTCTTCCCCTCTTAATGCAGCTAGTGTGTCATATGCAAACTCTCTTGCCATTCGGGTGAGGTCCGCCACGCCCGTTTTCTGAGTGTCGATCACCATTCGGTGCCGGTCCGTCATCGTCGGAGGTAGTCCACCCAGAAATTGCTCCATGAAAAGTTACTGTTATGACACGTCGTCCAAGTCACTCAATGCTCGGTCCAGTAGTTCACTGCGATGGACAGCAAAGACGAACGGGTCCGCTCTCTGGCCGCATTGAAGCGCCGCATCGCATCCTGGTGGTCGCCCTGGTTGTCGAACATCGAGCTCAAAGCCTACTTCGCGCTGACCCACTCCAAGTTGACTGAGCTCGTTCGCGCCGTCTCCAAAGTCGCCTTTGTTTTACATTTGAGGAGACTCCGCAGGGCAAGCAGCTTCGCTAGCCCCTGCTTTACTTCGACTACCCCGCGATAATTTCGAATTCCTCCGCGAGCCACGTTGCGTCCCCAGCCACAAAGTGCTCCGACCGAAAGTCCTTCATGCTCCACCTCTGTCTGGTCACATCACCAAATCTTGGGAAGAAAACGAGATGCAGACGGGTTGTGTATTAGGCAACTCACGTATAAATACTATAACATCGAACCTAAAAGCTCGGGTCAACTTGTGGTACTTTTCTCACTCTCCATTCCGCTGCGCCACTTCATTCACAACGTCTTGGTATAGATAGATTTGCGCACCACGCGTCCTTCATGTACAGCGATTAAGGACTTATCTGCTTTCCTTGCGCCTCACTGTCTCCACATATACTAATTATTAGTAGTGCGCTACAAACCAAGTTTTATTGTGGGTTCGATATGAATCATCAGAAGTGAGAACAGATTGTGTCACACACCATCGATGTGGACTGCAGTTAGTTTTGGCTGGAATGTCTGGCAGTTTCATGGTACGAATCCTATCTGAAACAAATAAATTCTCGGTATTTTTCGTTTTCAACCTTCCCCCCGGTCTTTCTGACAATCGCAGATAAGTGTGGATCCCATTATGGAGTGCCATGCTGTAAGCAGTTAGCGTCTATCTTATACGCATGTAGCTTTTTTATTTCACACGGTCATTTGTTTCGTATAAAGGTAACGTCAGTGCACAAACTAATCTGCAATGTTTCATTGTGACCCAAGACCAGCAAGTCGGAAAAATTCAACCCTCCGTTTTCATTTATGGTGAGTTGACTAACTGTAGTTTAACTCTGTTTTCCAACGTGCTCAATATAATATATATTCGGGCGTTCGGAAGGCCGAGAGCTATCTCAACGATCATTTGTGGGTACTTGTTTAAGCACATAGCCGGCATATAGTCCTACGTAAGAAGGAGACATCCATTGTGAATTATTCCCATAGAATAGGCGAATTCTTCTCTGATTCGGAATATGTGTCTTACTACATATACTACAAATCACTCAAGTTTGATATATTACAGCAGTCTCGTGGAACCAGTGGCTGGAACTTTTGTATCTAACTATTATTTGCATTTAAAACGTAAATTTTTCCATAATCAATCTGGAACACGTTTCTTACAATATAGTGTGAATTACTTTTCTCTATTCCATTCAGCTCACTTTCATCATCATCTACTCTGACTCGCCCGTCTGACTCCAGACCCCCTTGCACAACGCCAGTATCACCGCAAGTAGATCAATGTGCCCGTACTCATTTACCCCGACGATGTGTTTATCACGCTTACGACACTGTTCCTTTTGACCATTTTGAGATGGAAAAACTGGCTCCAAACATCAAAATGTTTAGTCAAAATTGCTCACCTGTCGTATCCGTGGATTGCGTAAAGGCGAGCTGCTCGCATATGTCAAGCGGATGCTTTGTCCCCAGTCCCAAGGACCCGATGCAACAGAGTACCTTCGGAAACGATCTATGGTCGTCCGGCTGTATCTCCGAATCTACCAGCAGCTCATGCAGCGAGTCCGGTATTAGTGCACACTCGACTCAAGACGCAGCAACCGGTTCGCCAACCCGAAACGTCAGACAGCATACGGAAAGCAGACTGAGAAGGACATCCGGTGTAGTACTTCCTCTCTGTCAAGAAACGCAATGGCCATTGCCGAAGGCAGCTGCACATTCAAGGCTACCGATTCCGAGCAAACGAGTCGCGAATCAAATCGGCGATGGACATGGAGCTGGTAAACCGCCAGAGGCTTATAATCATTTGAATATGGTCAAGAAGTCTGGATCGGTAATTTGTCTCAACTTTGCATCACTTGCAAAAATAATCTTCTACCTATACCATACAAATCCCCCTACTACGCCTGTGTAACAAACATTAGTCAATGGATTAGAAGTGTACTGAATGCCAAAGCAACCTCGGCGATCTGAGCAGAAAATGCGATAGCTTTGCATTGGATTGAGATTTAACACTGTACAAAGTAATGTGACCACCGTCCATCCGATCGCAACTCGACAAAAACATTGGTTTGAGGTCGAAGTTAGCTTTGCGGCGATTCGCTTTCAGCCTATACCACTTCCCGATGGATCAGAGGTCAGTATGACTTTGATAGGATAAACTCCAACTCCAAATCGACTCTAGATTATGCGATGGAATTAACCAGCTTGCAAGCAAAACCTCAACATTCACTGTGACGTTAGACCGGAGTTGATTGAATCAGTGGACTTCATAATTCTGCTGTTGTCAAGTCTATATTAAGAGTGAATAACTACTGCGCATCCAAGTTGTAGGTATCAAATAAGTCCACATTAACAGAAAACACCAAACCCCTTGGACGGTGGACCTCAAGGACGGACCAGGTAATCGTTCAAATGCCATCTGCACAGCATGCACTGCCAAGGTAAATTCTAGAAACTGGCCGCTGGCGCGTTATGGGCATGGATCGCCTGAGTCATCACTAAAATATAATGTCATCAGGATGAACTGTCAAGCTATTAGTCACTAAATTACACTTAACAGACGACTGCCTTCTGGAGCGAACACAACTTTATGGCCTCAGCGAGCTAATGATAATAATAATGATAATAATAATAATCCGAAAAATAACTTTTGACCGGCTCATTGGCGGATCAACTTATTCCTAAGAAAGATATCAGAATTAAGATTTAGCGGACAGGATCGTGTTCATAGTCAGGTTAATGCATCACCAAGAAAATATTAGCGAATTACAGTCCCAGGGAAGCTTCGGCTTCCTCGACTCAATACCCACAAGTAACCTAAATGGGCGACAGATGTTCTGGTAAGACGTGGGGTTTCTGCTCAGCAGCGTCCTAGTAGAAGGAACCGTAAGCTATTCAGGTGACTATACCTAGCTGCACCAAATCGACATAGGCGTCCCCATAGAAAGTTTAACTCACCTAGAGCATTCAGCAAATCAATGGAAACAACTATCGGCAGTTTGTTAGAACCAACCCAGTTATTGTGATTCCGAGTATGCACAATCGCTCTACAAGATCTCTAGCCCAACCGAAAGAAAAATCAGAAGTCCAATGACTTAAACACAATTATGTCTTAACCACCAGCAAAAGCACTGTACAAGTGAAGTAGGCCTTGGTCGTGCGTACGAGTCACTTAACGACATTCGACTTTTATGAAGTGCAATTTAGGGAGATCAACCTACAAAATTAATAATGCCCAACCGACCTAGTCAATCTCCACCAGGCTGGCAGTCAAGTGTAAGCCTTAGAAGATTCCAGGATGTACGGATTCGGTGCGATAACCCTAACAACCGATTAATTGCTAAAACAAAAGCTTTTTCGGAAATTCCTGCTTTTTCTGGCTGCCTCGTCATCCTGAGACGGTTTCTGGGGCACATAATGAAAACCTGGGATGGAGTTGTAGCGTTCGGAACGGTGTTCTGTTTCTGTTGGTCCATCGACTTAGCTGAAGTGCTCGAGAAATGGGTTCTAGTGTCTGTGGTCTGTTTTCCTTGCTTAAATGACAGCAATTGTCCTTAGGCACTTTTAACAAGTTGTAGTTTTCCACCAACAAGTCAAACGAGAAATCGACAGGCAGTGATTTTTCTTGTTGGCGCAGCGCTGAGCGTAGTTGGTTCGCATGCCGGACTTCCAACACGCCATAAATGACCTATCCGCGTTTGTTTTTGTTAGCGCCTGACGTCCAATTTACGTGGTCTTCCCGATAGACAAGCATCAACGCATGAATGATATTTGCGTTGCTCATTGCAGCCGGTTAAAACCCTGTCACCTACTGCAGCACCTTCACAAACAGTGGGCTCTGAGAGCAGTCGAATGGCATCGAAGATCATACGGATCTTTCTGTTTACCATAATTTGTACTGTGGTATTGATGGGTAAAAAAAGGAACCGGCTGATCACCTTTTCCATACGTCCTACCTATGATTAGAGGGGGGATCGTTTGAATGCATCCACCTACCTCTCTGTCTGGCCATTCAAATGTGGGTGAAATGGCAATGATCAAATGCGCTGGACTGGGCACTACCGGCAGAACTCCGTGAAAGTTGTCGAAGTGCACTGTGTGCTGATGTCGGTTCCAAGTGTCACTGGACAACCGAATCTGCTGAACGGTTAAGGCAGTCTCAATAAATTAGCATCGGCTGTTGTGCGATTCCTGGAACACCTCGAGCCACTTGCTGTAAGGACTGACTATGATGCGGAAACTTCGGCCATGGATTGGTCCTGATAATTTGACATAGTTTCGTGGGTTTTGGTCATGAATGAAGCTCTACATTTTGTGGCTTTTTTAGGAAGTTGGTACTTTGTTGACAGCGATTAGCTAGTTCTTTCAGTTGTTTGTCCATGAAAGGTTACTATACGTACTTGTTGGCAAGCGCTTCCTTCCGGTTGATTACAGAACGGCCGGTATGGAACTGCTGAAGTACCCACTTTTGCATAGATTTCGGGATGACAATTCTTTCGGAAAATAGTAGACACTAGTCCATAATGAAGAGTGAATGACTTGTTTGGTAGCGCTGCTGCAACTCGCCTGCTAAACATGAAACTGGCCAACTGGTTCTGGAAACACGTGTGTTCTTGAGTAATGAGTCCTGAAGCGTTTCGATTCGTGCAACTTCTGCGGTAACAGGCAAGTCGTGCAATGCGTCCTTCGCCAGAAAGTTGACGTCCGGTTCGATCTCAACGGAGGCAAGTACTGACTCTTCAGGTTCATACTGAGGGAAACTGTTCACCCGTAGTAGATAAAAAATCATACCCCATTAGAATCAAAGCTCTTCGTCGTAGCCATTTGGTTGTGTAGGTCGGGATGCCCTTTTCCAAACCAAAGATAGCCATCAAGGACTTATGGCCAGTCGAAAGCTTGTAGTGAAGGCCATAGACTATATTGGGAAGGATTTTCACAGCAAACACTATGGCCTATGCTTCCTTCCCGATTTGGCTATAGTATCTTTCAGCCTTTGCAAGTGTTCTGGTGGCACGAGCGACTGCTTGCTGAGATACGTTTGAGTACGTGTGTGATATTTCCCTACCGATCCTATTGCTTGATGTGTTTGTAGCCAACGACATTCTGGTATTCCGAAGTGCAGTTCCAAGGTTGGGCTCTGGTTAATAGCGTGTTCGGCAGGACATGCAGACGATGCATCGCAGGCAAGAAAGCGGTGTAGTGACTGATGAGACCACAAGAGGAACGTAATGATTGCAGGTCTGTTAGCAGAAGCAGTTGCTTTATGGCTTCTATGTTTCGGGAGCTGGTCGTCGCCGATCTTTTACCAGGGTTAACACCGAGATATTTGATGATCGGCGTGATAAATGAGCGTTTGTCTTCACGAATCCGCTAACCATAAGACTGGATACTAAGAAGTGGCACATCCAACCGATTAGCCAGTTCTTCCGGTGTTCAGCCACCACGATGAGATCACCAGATACACAATGGCTCTAGAAAATCCCGCAAGCATTGGATCCATCAATTGTTGGAAAATGGCTGGTGGTGTTTTCACACCAAACAGCAAGCGATTATACTGGAATAGTCTACGATGTGTTGATCGTCAGCAAACCACTTGAGTCTTCGGCAACATCCACCTGGAGGGAGACATCGGACCGAACAAACTTGATTAAGCACTTACCCCTGAATTTTGCTATGTTGTCTTTCGGTATCCATATCGGATGTCGTAACGGCCCTTCCGCGCAGCAAACACGACATCTGGGCTTCGACCAACAAATCTATCGTGTAAACAAGACAGGCTCATTTTATACCTTACACACACATTGACGCATTTCATTCATTTGTTCCTCTCACTGAATCCATTTGAGTGTTGTTCTCGCCACGTCTAAAAATTGTCCACTTAATGTCATCGACGCACTTAGTCGGGTTTGATTTGGGGATATCGAAGTGAGCAGGCAAGAGGTCAGACTGGGGTCATTGCTGCTCGCTCGTCAGCCACCACATTGTCCCATTTTTCTTTCTTTATCGTTTTTGTGCCGAAGTTTCCATATCCGCTAGCACGGCGAGCGTGCGTCTAACAGAATAACAGTCAAAGTTAGCCAGGGTTACATTAGATTGTTTTATCTTCTAGGAGTAACTTCCGTTTTCTGTTAGTAGACGGTATCTAAACTGAACCTTTCACGATTTTAGTAAAAAAGCATTTCTTCCTCTTAACGTCATCAGACGACGATCCTCATTCATCTACTTGAGTTTGAAAGGCCGTTTCTTCCTGTTCCTGACAGACATCATGACAGTGTTCCTTTTCAGCCGTAGCATCGAGCCATTCGGTCTGTTAACGCAACTGCGTTTTTTTACATTGTACTGCACTTCGATGCATTGTCACATGGGTAGCAAATTAGTAGTCGGTCCCGGATCAGGTTGTCATGACCCTGGTCGTCCTTGCCTCATCGGTGTTATGCAGGTTTGCTTTTGCTCTCTACGAATCTGCGTGAGTTATTGAGGGATACTGTTTCTCTTGCTGACCACCGTCCATTGAACAAACTCTGGCCGATCGGGTGCATTCAGGGAAAAGATTTGACCGAGCAACACAGAAACCACCGAATCCCTTGGTTAACTGCAAGAGCTTTAGTTCGCCGTCATGATACTAGAAATTCCACGCTTCCATTATGTGACGCTGCATCGCCAATAGCGTACCGGATCATGGCAATCTGGTATGGCCCCGGATATTCATCCAACCGAATTAACGTAGCGAAGTCCACACGTTTCATTTTCCACGTATTCTAGTTGTACGGCAATGTGTTTTCCCTCATCTGCAGCGGATTTGGCAAATGTGATCAATGATTGCACATCACC